TGCGCTGAAATTCGCACAGGACCGCGGATTCTGGTGTATACGGGATCCTGGTGTACACATCCTTCGCTGCTTCCCTTGAAAGCGGGGAAAAAAGTATACACCAGACCACCCCAGCATCGTTCGGGAGCGGCCAAGAGGGGGGTGTCCAAGAGGGGGGGGTGCAAATCATGACCGGCGGCATGTGCGCGGCCCAGCGGGGGGGCCAGGGACGTAATGAAATAAGCAGAGGCGCCATGAAATCTGGAGAAATATCATGGCCCCCGCCATGATATCCACCCCCCCCTAGTCATCACCCCCCTCTTTTCCGCCCCCGAATCGTCCTTGACCCTCAAAAAATCCTGGGATTGAAGAACGGCTGCTGGCCAGGCCACCGCTGCTGGCCACCGCTGCTGGCCCGACGACGACGACGACGACGAGGACGAGGACGACCTCGACGACGACGACGACGACGACGACGACGACGACGACGACGTGGCCCACGAGGCGAGGGCGACGAGATCTGCTCATGGCCACCGCTGCTGGCCAGGGCCCCTCCCGGGCCCAGGAGCGGCGCGCGTGCTTCCCGGGGCCAAGCCCAGGCCCAGGGGGGGGGGGGGCCGTGCACACCGCTCCCCCTGGGCCCAGGGCTGGGCCTGGCCGGCGGCAGCGGCCACGCACAGACCTCGCGACGAGATCTACGGATCTACAGACATCTCGCGACGAGATCTGTAGATCTATAGATCTATAGATCCATAGATCTATCTATCTATCTACCTATATATATATATATATATATATATATATATATACTACAGATATCTCGCGACGAGACCTGTAGATCTATAGATCTCGCCGCTCGAGGGGCGCGGCGGCGCGCTGAGCCGCCCGCCGGCGCCGCCTTCTGGCCGGCGGCGGCGCCGGCGGCGCCCGCCCCGGAGAGCGCCGCGAGGCCGGCCGCCGCCACGGCCGCCGCCACGGCGCCTCGCGGGCCGCTCGCCGGGCCCGCGGAGCGGCGTCGCCGTGGCCTTCGCTGCCGCCGCCGCCGTCGTTGTCGTCGCCCTCCTCCTCCTCGTCCTCCCTCCTCCTCGTCCTCCTCCCTCCCTCCTCTCGTCCTCCCTCCTCCTCTCCTCCTCCTCCTCCTCCTCCTCCTCCCTCCTCCTTCCTCCTCCCCCTCCTCCCCCTCCTCCTCCTCCTCGTCCTCTCCTCCCTCCTCTCCTCCCCTCCTCCCCCTCCTCCTCGTCGTCCTCCTCCTCCCTCCTCCTCCTCCTCCTCCTCCTCCTCCTCCTCCTCCTCCTCCTCCTCCTCCCCCCCCTCCTCCTCCTTCTCGAGGTGTTCGGACGTCTTCGCTGGTTCCTGGACGTTGTCTCGCCTTACGTCGGGCGTGTCCCCCTACGGGGGGATTTTCGACGATTTTTTTTCTATATATATTATATATATATATATATATATATATATATATATATATATATATATATAAACCCAAAATGCCCCAAAAAGGTAAAAATCACTCCAAAAATAGTCCCCCAACTATGTTTGGACTTTTTCTGGGGTATTCTGTATTCTTCGTCGAAAATCCCCCCCCTGTAGGGGGACAGGCCCGGCGTAAGTCTCGCCTCGGGGTGCTCTCCAGCAGTCGCCGAGCGCGTCTCCGGGGGGTGCCCGGAGGGCCCCCGAGCGGCGGCCAGGGGGCCCGAGGCGGGGCCCGGGAGCCAGGCCCTCGGCCCGTGGGGGGGGGCCCCGGGAGCCAGGCGCTGCAAGCCCTGACTCCGGATCCGCCCTACTTTGGCTTTTTTTTCCAACTTAAAATTGCGTCGGAAATTCACCTAGAAGAGGCCGAAAAAGTAGGGCGGAAATTGCTGCGGAAATCCACAGAAACAGCAACAGAAAAGTAGGGCGGAAATTGGCATCAGCGGGGCTTGAAAAAAAAGGCGGAAATTCCAAGCCCCAGTTACGAATTTCCCCAAAAAGTAGGGCGGATCCGGAGTCAGGGGGGGGGCCCCGGGAGCGAAAGCGCTAGGCTTCGGTCGGGCGTGTCCCCCTTACAGGGGCATCTTCGACGAAAAATTAAGCAATACCCCGAACATAGCCCAGAAAGGTCAAACCATATTCGAAAAGCAGTCCCCGGACTATTTTTGGAGTATTTGGGGGGTATGGTTTAGCTTTCGTCGAAAATCCCCCTGTAGGGGGACAGGCCCGACTTAACGCTAGGCGTAGAAAGATTGCACCGCCTGGGTCCCAGGGGGCCGCATGCGAACCCCATCCCTACCCCCCACGATTTCTGATGGGGAGGGTGGGGTTCACTTCGCTTGGGAGCTCCCGAACGAAGTGAACTCCACCCTACCCCTCAGAAATCGTGGGGGATAGGGGTAGGGTTCGCATGTGGCCCCCTACTGGGATCATCGCAGGTCGATCCCGCCTAGCGTTAAGTCGGGCCTGTCCCCCTACAGGGGGATTTTCGACGGAAAATAACAAGTACCCCAAAAATAGCTCAAAGATAGTCCAAAAATAGCCTGGGGACTATTTTTCGAATATTTGCTCAACCTTTTTGGATAATTGTTTAGGGTATTTTTTTAAATTGTTCGTCGAACATCTCCCTGTAGGGGGACACGCCCGACCTAAACCTGACGTTTTCGCCCTGCTGGGGGCCCTGGGATCATCGCAGATCCATCCCGCTCGAAAAAGGCCACGGAACGATGGGGCCTAGGGCTTCGGTTGCGATCTTCTGCGATGTAGCATTTCGCCGCAGCGTCGGGTCTCGGGCACCGTCGTCTCCGTCGATGCCGCCCTCGCTCGCCGCCGAGGAATTTGCTCTGCCTGCAGCGCCAGTGCCGCAGGCCATTCCGGTCGGGGCCCTGTACTTTTTTGTGCCGAGCAGGGATCGACCCGCCGCCGAGCGATGATTTGAATCGGCCCCAAGAGAGCCCCTGGAGAAGACCCATGATATCTCCGCCCTCAACGCCGTGCCCTCTTCCCCAAAGGACGTAGATACGAGATACAGATCCCTCCACTCCAATGTCGTCCCAGACCCCTGGCATCGCACACGCACGGGCATCCCGCCTCCTGAGGATCTCTCCCCCTCTGCAACAACCATCCGTCTGCACCCATAAACATAAAGGTAAATGCACAGTTCGGTGCAACGTCGCACCTGTCATCGTAAACTCTGCCTCTCCCCGCTTCCGCCGCAACCCTGTCGTGGCCAACTCAGCAGCTCGCTGCTGCGGAAGGTGTTCCACCCACTGCCCACCCATGCGCGAGCTCCGTACAGTCCCGTCACACAAAAACTGCCAATGTGCACGTGGCCACATGGCATCTGTATACCCGGCGCACATCTGGGGTCCGTACTTACAACCGGACCACGTGTCCAATTCACAAGCTTACTGTCGGACTGTATTCAAGAAATGTCCGTGAGGGAGACAGGCACCGGGGAACCCCGCCCGCTCGTTCGCGAACCCGTGTCGTTGGCCTCCACAGAGCTCACTATTTGTAGCACGCTTCGTCCCTGGCTCCGTCGCAGCAGCTTGCAATTGAGTGTGGCCTCGTTGTTCGCGCTCACACACGCGGGCCTGCTGTGACACGAAAGAATGCAACCGCCTGCCCTGCAAGCTATAATATTCCCATGTCATTTGTGTGAACGCGGCCTTCTCCTCAACCCAGCATGGACCCAGTCGGTCCATCCACCCTACCACGAACGCCTGAGCCAAATGATCTTCAAGCGTTCCACGCTTCTTCGCTACACTCCAGCGAATCCGCACGCCCGGGTCCAAGTTCCGATGCTTCCCGTGGTGTCGGCCAACAGCTCTTTGGTGGGTGTCATCGTTTCGCCAGGAGGCTCGAGTGTCGTATAAGTTCCAAGTGCGCCCCGCATCAATTCCAGACGCCAACAAATTGCATGCATGACCGCGCTGGCAGTGTATCCTCAACCCTCCTGGGGTTGATCTTCCCGTTAGGAGTAGAGCACTGCCTGCTCAAACCTCCCGCTTCCTCCCCAGTGGTTGCGGTACTTGTTCTTAGCACTGCTTGTACGCCTTCTTCCTCCTTCTCCCGCCTCGTCCCGCCTTTGATAAACTTCATACCTCCTACTGCCTATATGGCTGCTTCCTAGCTCCTACTTCCTGGACCTCGCCCTCCCTGGGGGGGATGCCAGCTGAGCACCTGCCGTCACTCTCTCGGGCTCCTGGAAAGTCTAGCGGAGCGACGCCCTCCAGGCGCATCCAAATGAGAGATCACCTCTCTGGGGGGGCTGCCAGCTGAGCACCCGTCGCCACGTTCGCGGGCTCCTGGCGTCGCCACCGTCGTAGGCTCTCGGGAGGCTCAGCGCAGCGACGCCCCCCACGCGGACCCGGACGAGAGCCTGGGGGGCCGCCAGCCGCGCAGCTGTCGCCACTTTGGGGAGCTCCTGGGAGGTCCAATGCGACCAAACTAGACTGATGTCGGGCCTGTCCCCCTACAGGGGGATTTTGGACGAAAAACAAAAAATACCAACAAAAAAACCCAAAAGATAGCAACAAATAATCAAAACAAAAATCTCCACACTATTTTTCGACTATTTTTTAATATTCCCCCTGTAGAGGGACAGGCTCGACTTAAAACTAGACCTCGCCTTCCCTGGATGCTCCCAGCTGCGCAACCGTTGCCACTTTCGTGGCCTGCCGGGAGGCCCAGCGGGGCAAATGCATTCGCGGGCTCAAAGAAAACCTGTGCTCGTCGTCGCATGTCTGTGATTCCTTCCTGCCCATTTCCTTCGGCGGTGCATCGAGTGTTCCCGTTGATGAAGCCACCCGTTGCAAATGGATTGGGTACGTCCCCGGGTAATTTTTTCTGCGGGAAATGAAGAATTGAACAATCGGCTGCCACACACGCTACGGGCGATGTACACTGGTGGCTCGGCGGGATGGGCCTGGAGGCTCTCTCCCACGAGGAGTCGTGAAGCCCCCGAGCGCATCCCTTAAAGTCAGGCCTCAAATCAATGGGGACAATTGAAGACAGGGCCGCAAATGCGTGCCGAGGCCCCGACTCCATCGTCAAAACTGAAAAAAAAGATGGAGCAATAGGGGGGGAATCAGCGAAGACGCGGCCGCAAATGCGTGCCGCCTAAGGCGCGAGAGAACAGGCACGCGCACATTCAAAAATGCTGAATGACAGATGTGCTGCATCTTCGGGAGATCTTGTCTGTCCCATCGCGCCGCTATCCACGTCGAGTCCGCGTCGAGTCCATGCCGAAAGCGTCGATACCCATGTCGAATTCACATCGAGTCCGCATAGAATCCAAGCCGAATCCGCGTCGAGCCCAGGTCGGACACAATAAAAAACGGCCATTGAAAGGACAGGACAGCCCTGACTCCAGATCCGCCCTACTTTGAGCGATTTCACAAAAAGAGCGGAAGATTCCGCTCTACTGTGCCGGCGCTATTTCCGCCATACGTTTGCGAAGATAGCCATCCCACTTGTCCGAGGCGGGAACATTCGCCCTACTTTTTCGCATTGTGCAGAGCGCATTTCTGACACACTTTTGGGTCGGAAAGCATCATCAATACGGCAGATCCGGAGTGAAGGTCTGTTTTTGCCTGAGATCCTGGCGGTGCAGCGTCTTCACACCGGGCGTTTACGTCAGGTTTCGGGCCTGGGGGGGCCATCACCAATCGCTCCGGCTCGAAGAATGCCGCCAGAAGATGGGGGTCCAATTGGCTCCGGTGCGGAGCTCTCGCGAGGTCGCCGTGCTTTCACAACGTCGCATCGCCAGCGGGTTCTCCGCGGGGAGCGATCGGGGGAGGCTGGCCCAGGGAGGTCGCCCGAGCACGCAGCGCAGTGTTATGTCGGGCGTGTCCCCCTACGGGGGGATTTTCGACGAGAAAAAAAAGTACCCCAAACAAAGCCCAAAAGGTAAAAAACAAATGCTCAAAAATAATCCCTGGACTATTTGGGGACTATTTTCGGACTATTTTGGGGGGATGTTTTATTTTCGGACGATTTGTCGGACTATTTTTGGGGTATCTTTAATTTTTGTTGGACTATGTTTCGGTATATGATTTGGACTATGTTTGGGACTATTTTCGGACTATTTTTGGGGGTACTTTTTATTTTTCGTCGAAAATCCCCCTGTATGGGGGACAGGCCCGAGCACTTGAGCGTAGTGGCAGCGTGCGGCGGCATCGGGCGCCCGCAGCCCGCAGGCACGGCGAGGCCGGCGGGCCGAGCATCGGAGGCCGCCCGGGGGGGGGGGTCGAGCAGGTGTGGTCGGAGGACTCCGCGCCGCACCGCCGAGGGCGGAGGAGGAGGGGGAGGAGGGGGAGGAGGAGGAGGAGGAGGAGGAGGAGGAGGAGGAGGAGGAGGAGGAGGAGGAGGAGGAGGCGGAGGAGGAGGATCCGCGCCGCACCGCCGAGGGCGGAAACAGATCGGGCTCCACGTCGAGCCGCGTCGCCGGCGCATCGGCGAAGCGGCGCGATTCTCTGGCCCCGTCCGCTCGGACCCCATCTGTAGGGCGACGAGATCTGCACGTTAGCCACCGCCCCCCTGGCCAGGCCCGTGCTGAAGCCAGCAGCGGTGTGCACGCCACGCCCTCCCGGCCTGGCCAGGAGGGCGTGCGCACAGCCCGTGGGCCCGGGGAGGGGCCTGGTCAGGGGGGGCGGTGGATGTGTGCAGATTTCGTCGCCCGAGCCTGGGCGGCCCAGAAGAACACTGGCCCCCCCCCCGAGCACGCGCGCCCCTGCCGCCACGCCGCGCGCGCCGAGGGGCAGGACCGAAGACGATCGAGACGCCGCCTCGGCGAGGGCGCGCTCGCCTCCGTGGAGGCCTCCCAGGTGGCGCGCTGTGGTGGGAGGGGGAGGAGGAGGAGGAGGAGGAGGAGGAGGAGGAGGAGGAGGAGGAGGAGAGGAGGAGGAGGATGGAGGAGGAGGAGGAGGAGGAGGAGGAGGAGGAAAAGGAGGAGGAACAGGAGAAGGAAAAGGAGAAGGAAAAGAAGGAGGAGGAGGAGGAGGAGGAGGAAGAAGGAGGGCATCTCTTGGAGGGCCGATTTTTGCTACCGCTGGCTTCTTTCCGCCAGCTCAGGCGGCCTCGTTCTACTGCCGCCACCCTTCCACCGTCCTTCCGCCGCCCTCCCGCAGAGGAAGATGACAACTTCTTCGATCCTCGAAGGCGCGACCCTGTCTGGAGCGCGCCACATGGGGTTCCGAGCAGTGGAGGTCCAAGGATCACGCCGCGTCGCCGATGCATTGCCGCTGCAGTGCCGATGCATCGGCGCCTTTGGCGTGGAGAAGACCAGGCTCCGCATCGCACCGCGTCCCCAGTGCATCGGCGACGCGGCGCGACCCGCCCCATTCATGTCCCGCCTCTCGGGAGCGGCCAAGAGGGGGGTGTCCAAGAGGGGGGGGTGCAAATCATGACCGGCGGCATGTGCGCGGACCAGCGGGGGGGCCAGGGACGTAATGGAAGAAGAAGAAGAAGAAGAGGCGCCATGAACTCTGAGGAAATATCATGGCCCCCGCCATAATATTCCCCCCCTAGTCTTATGTTGTTCCCATCCTA